AATTCACAGTTCTCTCACATGGAGAAGCACAAGCAGGATCCAGTGAGCATTATTTCTGAATCTACAATACAAAGGCTTTCCAGCCTTGTCTATGACGCAGACCAAATTCTGCTCCGGTTACTCTGGTGTAATCCCAAGTAACTGTCGAAATTGGTAGAATAATGGTGGATTTAAATTCATAGATTTTGAGGCCAGAAGGGACGGTTGGTATCAGCTAGTTTAACCTCCTGTATAACACAAGCCATAGAACTTCAAGACTACGTAAGAACCCAACAACTTCGTCACCGAACCCATAACACTACACACTAAGCCCATCTGGAACATAGGAATTGCCCTACTGTCTGTGAACTGTCTGGTCCAGTGTCCTGTATCTGGTTTGGCCAGCACCACAGATCAGTCTGGCCCTAAGTATAATTTGCCACGTTTATTTGAAACTAGATAAAGGAATGAAGAAAATGGCCGAAAGGTGGCCCAATGACCCAATGGTGCCCTTCTAGACTGGAGGCTGGTGACACTGGAGATTGGGTAGGGATAAATAGACATAACACTGCCATTCACACTCACTTTACAGCAGTGGATGATACATGAGTCAAAACAGGGTAGAGATGAAATTCTTCCTTTGTCTGTCCTGAGGCAGCTCCGCTGGCATTTAGTACTGCAGCTATTAACATCTGGATTCTGGAACCTTTTGTGAGTCTTCCGGCTCCCAGGTACTGGACAGGAAAATGTCACAGGCTTTGTCCCTGGCTGGAGACAGTCCGCTTTGCATTCTCCTCCTAATGATTTTGCCTCAGAAGGCATCTCTGGGCTTGTGTGTCTATTTGGCCAGATTGACAATACTGCCCCTGAAGTCAATAGAATTGCATGGGGCAGGAGATGTGGCAGAAATTGACCAACTGCCTAGAAAGAGAATGGGATGCATTCATCTCGGTGGTTACTCCCTCACGTTCACTGATGAAAGTGGGCCAAGGTGCTGGGAACATTAACTATGTAATGAAAGGGTAGGGCACAGCTTCAGTGACAAAATGCTGGCAGATTGTCCCACATTGGCACCGATAGTGGTTGGCATCTGGAAATGCTTAGGTAAGCATTCCCATCAACAGGGGAAGGCAGGGCCGCTAGTTGGACTGAATGCTTATATGCAAAATTCTGTTCTCAGTAGCACCGGTGTAATGTCACTGCTGGTAATGGGGTTACACCATTGTAGCTAAGCACCTGTAACGTTTGCACGGCCCTAGACTAAACACTAGTACAGGGGCCGGCAACCTTTCAGAAGTGATGTGCCGAGTCTTCCTTTATTCACTCTAATTTAAGGTTTCGCGTGCCAGTAAGACATTTTTAATGTTTGTAGAAGGTCTCTTTCTATAAGTCTATGATATAGAACTAAACTATTGTTGTATGTAAAGTAAATAAGGTTTATAAAATGTTTAAGAAGCTTCATTTAAAATTAAATTAAAATGCAGAGCCCCCCGGATT